ACATTTACATTTACATTTACATTTAATTTACATTTACATTTACATTTACATTTACATTTACATTTATATTTACATTTACATTTACATTTACATTACATTTACATTACATTAACATTTACATTACATTAACATTAACATTTACATTTACATTTACATTCACATTCACATTCACATTTACATTTACATTTACATTTACATTTACATTCACATTCACATTCACATTCACATTCACATTCACATTCACATTGACATTTACATTTACATTTACATTTACATTTACATTTATATTTACATTTACATTTACATTTACATTTACATTTACATTTACATTTACATTTACATTTACCATTACATTACATTACATTAATTACATTACATTACAGTACAGTACAATACAGTACATTGCATTGCATTGCATTGCATTGCATTGCATTGCATTGCATTGCATTGCATTGCATTGCATTGCATTGCATTGCATTGCATTGCATTGCATTGCATTGCATTGCACTGTTACACTGCATTATGCTACATTGCCTACCTTGCTCACATATGTGAATACAAATTTGCTGAAATTTGCTACTGATCTGGTGCTAACAACAGTAACATGAGCAGAAGTGCTTAAATTGGAAAGTCTCTTGTGACATGTATGTACACAACATATGCCAACTCATACGCATGCATACATTTGCACATACTCGCCTATTCACCTACCTACCTGCTTGCGTACTTCTTTCTTGACCTACCCCATTTTCGGTTCACTGACCTGTTGACCCATCCTCGTTTGCCTACGTAACTCACTGTACATACGTCGTTGCAAACTACTAGGTTCAGACTTTCTTGCGCCTGTATGATTGCACCCCACTCGAAATTACTCCAACAGCCGTCCTGCGGCTGCTAGTCCGTCTGAACCCCAAAGAACCTTGTAATTCTCACCCCCACCGTCCCCTACTCACCCAACTGCCCCCAGCTCCCGCTCCCAAAGCCCTAACTACTAGCCTGCCGAAGCCGAAAGCTTAAATCCCAAAGCCCTAAAAGCCCCGACACTGAAACGGCTCAGCTTCTTAGAACTACAAGGCTCCAAGCCGAAACCCAGGCCAAACTCATCACCGCGGTGGTCCGGTAGATTTGGCCGATCGCTGCCAGGAGCCCAAACCTTGTGCGAGTCGGCATCGAGGCTTTGGGGATTAGGGTGCCGGGGCTTTAGTTTGGGGCGTTGGGGCTCTATAAGCTATAAGGCTTTAGGTGCTAGCATAATGGGGGGTTTCGTTTTGGTTGTTCTAGCACCGCATTTGCCGAGCACCCTCGATTTGGGGTTGGAGGGTAGGGAGATGCATGCCGGGCGGCGCGGGGCTTGCGGCTTGTGCCGCAGGAACCGGTTCTTGACACGCTGTTTGCAACGAAACTCCACCCCCGAGAACCGACAGTTTAGGATGGCGCCCGTCGCAACCTCGAACCTCAAAACTGGCAAGGGTGGGAACTAATCGGAAGAGGGAAATCACGGCCTCAGCCATCGGGCTTGGAGGAAGTGAGGCAGCCAAGCCGCATTTGCGTGTGTGACGCGAGCACGAACATCATGCGGAGCACCTTTGTGACCATTGACATAAGCTTGTTCGTCCTCCTCATCAAACCGTCAGCGTCGCTAGCAACGTCAACAGAGCCAGCATATACATCTTGACATCTCCTGATATATCGTGATGCTCGCCAGCAAACCGAAGCCCTGTTATCCTGCAGTACATTAGCTCTGGTTCCTTGACGACACAAGACCCTGCCACAGCAAGCTCAAGAATATGACGATGCACAATTTTGCGTCATGTGTTGCCATCTTATGCTGTCACATACCAGATGCCCCATGGGAGTTTCAGAGAAAATAAATGCCTCGACCGAAAACTTCAACTGTAAGATTCTGATGAGAGGGACTCAAAAAAAGGTCCACTAACTCTCTGAAACCCCTCATGGTTGCATCTGACCCGTTGCTTCCATCTGCTGAGCCTCTAGACTTAAGACTTGCGCAAACCCAAGTGAATAGTAGTAGTCGTCGTCGTAGCCTTAGCAACAGCAGAAGTAATCGCAGCAATAAGCTACCATGATCCTACGATTGCATCTACATGTACCTCTTATTCCTCCTATCCTGGATCTCTGTTCGTGGATTCCAGGTGAGTTTGCTGCCGCAATCGTGCCTGTGTTTCTCCTCTAGCCAGCACTGCTTTCGGTTTTACAATTCCGGAATTTGCGCTGATGCCTGTATTGAAATCCTTCACTTTCACACCGGCAAAGTGCAACCCGACTCCGTCAACCGTCAAGCCCGAACCTCAACCCCCGAAGCCTCAAGCCCAGACCCCTCCTGGCCTCCTTGTCTAGCTTGGGACCACCCCCTTCGGCGTAGCTGTTCACGAAGCAGTCCAAGAACTTGTCCATGTTGGCAGTCTTCCAGCGGTCGATTTTTGGGTTTGGGGTTTCCGGTTGCTCATGCCTATTGGGGCCAGACGCTTTCAGGATTACTATACGCTTTCAGGATTACTAGACAGATTAACGCAAGGGCTGCTTGGTAAAATCCTGAAAACCGTGACTAATAAGTACCCAACGCCCGCCATTATAAGCAAGCCAATAGCAGCATGACACAATGCCGTTGTGACAGCCCGGGCACATTGCCCTAGCTTGGTTGGGTGAGTCAGGTTTCGGATTCGTGGGGATCGTAGGGAGAAACTTGCGAAACGGTGGCATTACTTGGGGACGGATGCTCTTGGCTGCCTCAGAAGGAAACTCGGATGCTGGCTATGGTGACACTGACGATGATGAGGAGCGATGACACGGTCAGGATAACAATGAGGCTGCTGATGATGGTGGTGACGATGATGATGATGGTGGTGAAGAAGAAAAGAAAAGGGTGGAGGTGATAAAGATTGCGATGGGTATGACCTAGTTGAACCACATACGACTCCAACGATGACACGAAGATGAGACCTGCTGAATGCTGAAGCCATGTCGTACTCCAGAAGGACTAGCGGCAGGGACAACGGATGCATTGATTTTTCAGTCAATGTCTGACATGCAGAAGATTCGCGAATTGGCAGCCTAAGCAAGAACAGGGCATCGAGGCCCTCGCGGCGGCTCCGTGGACAGAAAAGCGCGAAACCAGAAACATAGAGTCCATTGTGACAACAAACCAACCTCGATGTGCAAAAGCCGCCTTGGCAACGGACAAAACAACTCAGGGAAAAACCGCAGGAGAGAGTAATGCAAAACCTTCCTGAGCGAGCGCACGACCAGCTTTGACCACACTTAAGTGGTAGGGGAACCACACGACTTGGTGTGGCGTCATCTATTGGGCTTCTCTTGGACGAACGTCAATCCTGTTCTGCCTACCTGGCTGTGCGGACGTCGCCTGGCCTCACCTCAGGGAATGGCACCCAGAAGGCTCGCCTCCCGCCATGTAGGAGAAGAAGAATAAGACTTCACCGTCACTACGAAACACGCATAGATGCAACGTGCGCAGATTGCTTCCACTGCAGACTCACCTGTGGCTAATTGTCAAACGCGGTTGTAATGCAAACACGTGCAGGCCAGCGGTAAAGATGTCGTCGCCGTTCAACAAGCACTGGGCGATCTCCACTGCAAGCGCAGAATCCGCAGCAATAGCAGGGTCCATTTCGCAGCCTTCCCCAGAAAGATGCGCACCTATATAGTCGTAGCGCACGGAAGCGAGGGCAAAAGGCCCCAAAAGCCGCATGGCAAGGCCTTCTCTGTCAAGTCCACGACAGATTGAGCGCGCGTGGCTGAACAAACCCGTGCGGACAATATTATTATCCGTCCACACAGCAAGTTGGGTGACACATGTCCCAGAAAACTGACCAAATTCGGAGTATGTGAACCTGACCTTGATGGGAGTGCTTCCAACGAGCCAGTCCTGCAAGATGAGTTCCACATCACATCCCGATCGGCTCGAAGCTGCGTCCAGCATAAACTGTTCAAGGCAGTTGTAGCCCTCTCGCTGGTCGATCGGTCGTTCATGAAATTTCCTGTGCATTCTTCAAACAATCCTCGAGATCAATGAAGGGAGTGAATCGTAGAATGAACAAACAAGACTCACCTGATGATCGAATCCGTTACCATCACCATTTATCCATTTATCACTCAAGACGGGTCGCTTGAGCCGCACAGGGTTTTTGCCTCCCACCTTTCTAGGACGGGTTTAGGATTTAGGGCTTAGGGCTTAGGGGAGCCTCCATGCAGGCCTCCCAAAGGCTCTGAGTTAAGCGGCAGAAACTGAAGCTTGAAGTATACAGGGCCTTTCATCTGACATAAGTTACATGTTGTTAATATTCTTTGGTAAAGGGGCTGAACCCCTGAACCCTGAACCCTGCACCCTGTCCCCTGGCCCTAAACCCTCGCAACCCTCAACCCTAAAGTGCGCAAGAAGCGGTGATGCCTGTTGCCAGGATCAGAGAGCTTAGCAATTTGGGTGAAAGTTCTGGGACCCAGTAGACACAAACAAAAACCCTCTGGAAACCAGAACGCTATACAACCCTCTACATTAATTTTTTCAGCCCTCTGACACCCATGAAAGCCCGTATACAACCACCTATAAAGCCCTCTACCCTGATAGAACGCCCAAGTCGAAAAGTCCAAGAGGCCAGAACTTCGAAATCGGCACAGTACAGCCACCACCAGAGCTTGAAGCCTGGTTGTCAGGGCTGGGGTTTGAGGTTCGGGGGCTTTCGGGGTGGGGGGGGGGGGGGGG